TCATTTAAAGAAACTTCTTTAAAAGTAGGTTATTTTAAATTATATACTCTAGAAGCATTAATAATTTTAAAACTTAACTGTTAATATTTTTTTTTAAAAATGAATGTAGTCATCTAAAAAAAGTGCATTAAGTGGGTTATAACGTGAACAAAATCAAAAAAATATTATATTTTCGATTTAACTCTGCAGTTCTTTTGCTAAAGCAACAGAATTACTAACTCAAAGTTGTTAAATGCAGAATAGTTTTTTTTTTCACTTTAAGCTTTAAGAAAGCATTCGCAGGTGACTAAAATTATGTAAAATAACAGGTGACCTTTTTAAGAAAGTTTTAATGCAGTTAGTTATAAGTTGATGCATCAATTTATAACTGCTGGGAATAAAATGCTATGCATCAATTATGTACACTTCCCATTAAATAGCAAACACGCAGTTCTTTATAACGGCCAAACCAATATACTAAACATCGTTGTTATCATACGAATAAATTTACAACAATAATATTCGATTAATATCTTTCAATCTAGAATCCTGTTTTTATGACAATAACAGTAACTAAGTTAAATGATAACTTCCTATAAATTGCATCTTTAGAAGATTAAGCATAAGAGATTATATAAATAAAGAAACTGCAACTTAAATCTTTCTTCATTTTTATATATTAAATGTTATAAACCAGTAATTTCTAAAATAGGAAACCGTTAAGGACAGAAATTTTGGAGTAAAAGAAAGGGTTGGCTTTTAAGGATCATAAGTTTAAGATATACAAAAATTCCATTATTAAATATTTTGATTTTTAATACAGAATAGCCTTTAATATTATGTCTGCCTATTAGATAAGCATATCTAATGGTAAAATAAAATTCTGCAAAGAGATTAACGTCTGTTTAATAAAAATTGTTATGTAATAGTCTCAGTGGAATAAATAAGTCTACTGAGAGATTAGGGCAGAATTTTAAACAGATAATCAATATCCAGCACATCATCTTACGTTATGCATCACACAATCTTAACGCAAAAAAGTATATACAATGGAAAAATTTTTTCTATTCCTCCTCTCTGAATTTTTCAATGTTTAAGTTAATTTACTTATGCATAAAAGAACAAAGATTCTCATTCGAATACTTTTTACTGTTCTATTAGTTTTACGCTGAAAGTTAATTAAATATAAAGGAAGCATAAGAGATGAATTATCTACTCTTACTTTAAATTAAATAAACCAACAAAGCATATCAAATAAATTAATTACGTTGCTATGTTTAGATAAATTTTATAAAAGGAATTTATTATTAGTCTCGTTCATTGGTTTAAAGGAGAGGCTAATAAAACCTTAAAGTGATCTTCCACACCAATTCGAAATTCAATTAAGCTATGGAGAGTATGACTAACAAAAACAATTCTATTACTGCTAAATTCTGTTCCAGAAATTAAGCTATGTAAACTTTTCTAGAAAAATTTTATTTTTGGAATTCATTTCACTTCGACAATCAACATCGAGCTAAATATGATTTTTATCATACAATAAAATTTACAACATAAAATGTTCGACTAGAAGCCTTCAATAAGAAAAACATCCTGTTTTTTATAATAATAACAATGATAAGATAAATAATAACTTCCTATATATTATTGTTACTACTAACCAATATTATAATAAAAAAGTAATTCTATGCAAAAAAGTTTAAAAAATTATAAAATACACAACATGAATAAAATTCGTTACAAAGCTAAAACGTACGTAGGCTCCTGTTCTTGAAAGGAAAGAAAGCGCATACTTTTAAAAGCAAAGAAAAACTTTTGTTTATTAAAAGTAGAATTTACAAATCAATTTCCGAGGAATTTCTTGATACCAGGAATCAGTATGAAAACCTTGCAAAGCTTGCAGAAATAAAACCACGATTAAATACTTTTACTAAACGTACTGGAACTCATTTCTTTCAACTATTGCAGCTTTCAAAACCTTTCAAAACTTTCAAAAATTAAAAAAAGTAAACTTCTGTTTTATCTAGTATGCACCATGACTCAAAGCAGTAACAGTATTAGTAACTGTCCCTACTTATATCGTTTTGTACAGCTTCAGAGCCCCTTCTCCGTTTAGGTACACTGGGAAATTAAATATTCATTTACTGATTGTTTTTGTTCCATAGGTGTTTAAACTCTTTTCATCTTTATCACTTAACGTATTTACTCTCGATAGCTGAGTTATGTATATTGGTTTATTTGGTAAAAATAATAGTGGCATTCAAGAGGTTATAAAGAAAAGAAAACCAAATATGCGCCAGTACCAACTTCAGAATATTTTAATAAGAATCCTTTATTATCATCAAACAGATAAAATTCGAATTCTCTCATAAAAATAATATCAAAGAATTTAAAATCCATATCGTATTGCTCGCATAGGAGAAATTACTCGAAAGAGATTGCAGAATTCATTTCTTCTCATACCGCTTAGGACTACAAGACCCAAGCGCAGATCCCAAGAATCATTCATAATTGTGAGATAGTTTTATTTTTCGCTTGGAAAAACAGGAGCATGCGCACTGGAAGTTTCAGAGAATATTGTGGCTACCTTTTAATATCGGCGGTAGCCTTTCCCTTTATAGCAACTCCTAAAACTAGTTATAGAAAAGATAGAGCCGATTGTAGAAACTGTATCTGGTAATAGATAAATTTGGTTATAAATAAATGGTTATGGTTTTAAATAAATCTGGTTATAGATAAAGATGCAGATAAGATACGAGATCCCAACTAGCACTGAAATATTCCATTAAATAGTTGATGAAGTCTCTTTAATGGGAAATAACTTCTTTTCTTGAGGGTTTGATTTTTGAACGATAAAAATCTTTCTGAAAATGCTCTTTTCTCTCAAGTTCAAAACAAAAGAAATCACGTTGAATATGCAGATTTAGTGTATTATTTCTTATAAATTTAGGGTACAAAAACAAAAACCAAAGGCAAATTCCTACAAAGAGGTTTTAAATTTTCTAAACAAAGGCATCACCAAAAATCAACAAATATATACTATTAAATTTCCCGATAAACTTGTACGCAGATTACCCAGAGTTATTTTTAAGCAACGATACAGGTTTGAACAATCAACACTTTCGCGCCACTTTTCATTTTTGTCACAGGATGCTGAATATCAAAAATGCGAATCTTTAAATTTTTATTATTTAAGAAAAAGTAATTTTAGCATTGGTTTTTTAAGTTTCTTGGTTGATGATAACGACAAAAATCTCGGTACTGGTGACTGATTGGTTAAAAAATATGTAATTTGCAGTTTTTCCTTAAATAGTCCTAAAAAAACTGCTTATTTAAATGTTAAGTATGGCAGGAAAATTATTGTTAATGCTTGGCTGTCTCAAACAGTTGCATACATAATAAGCCATTAAGGAAAGCAAAAATACTGGGTTGTCTTACCGTAAAAATGCTGTTGCTACTTAATATAATGTCTTAATTACTCATGAGCATTCGTGTACACATTCGTGTAGTATAACATAAGAAGGAATTTAAAACAATTTTCTAAAAATATGCAGTTTCTGCAGATCATTGTTGTTTTGATACTCTCACAACTGTTCACCTCTTCCTCAGACAATTGTATTATTTTCTAAAACGAAGTTTCAAAATGTCTACATTATTCTACATGATTTTTATCGTTAATCTTGCTATGAATACCCACATGTACTTGTAAACAAAATCTGCACGTTTTACTGGAATAGCGACCAGCAAAAATAGATCAATTTTTCATTAAATAACATTATATAATTTAAGCATATGGATGTACATTAGAATATGCTACTATTTAATATATGATGCGTTAAAATTCCTTGTGCGCCATCATGATACCAGAAATTTGCATCATTAGGAAACAAAAAACAGATTACCAGTTAATTCCTTATGGGCCATCATGATACAAGAAATTTGCATCATTAGGAAACAAAAAACAGACTACCAGTTAATTCTTTATGCGCCATCATGATACAAGAAATTTGCATCATTAGGAAACAAAAAACAGACTACCAGTTAATTCTTTATGCGCTATCCTGATACAAGAAATTTGCATAATTAGGAAACAAAAAACAGACTACCAGTTAATTCTTTATGCGCTATCATGAAACAAGAAATTTGCATCATTAGGAAACAAAAAACAGACTACCACTTAATTCTTTATGCGCTATCCTGATACAAGAAATTTGCATCATTAGGAAACAAAAAACAGACTACCAGTTAATTCTTTATGCGCTATCCTGATACAAGAAATTTGCATAATTAGGAAACAAAAAACAGACTACCAGTTAATTCTTTATGCGCTATCATGAAACAAGAAATTTGCATCATTAGGAAACAAAAAACAGGCTATCAGTTAAAAGGAATATATTAGATTATTTATTCCTCTTAATGATAGGAATAAAGCTACCAAAAAAATTAAATATTGAATTGTTAATCAAGGATGAAGGAAATAAGCGATGCTTTAGGAAAATATATCGTCACGCAATTATTTTATTTTTCCTTTAATACTCATATATTCCCTTTAAAAAATTACAAATATATTAATTTTGATTTTTCTACTAGTTAAGGTCAAACAATAATGTTTTTGCCAATGCTGCCAATGTTTGCAAACAATAATGCCAACTTTTTTTTTTTTTTTTTTTTTTTTTTTTTTTTTGTTACAGTGCTTTTTTAATCATTTGGCGGGTGAGAGATCATATCCTTAAAATTTTAGAGCTGAAATATTTTGAAAATTAGTTAAAGTACATAATTCAACAAAACGAATTCACATGTTTCATCTTAATTGATAATCGAAGTCGATGGTAAAATACATTAAATATGGTAAATACATTAAATTTTATATTTAATATTTAGTTGGTAAAATACATTAAATATGTCATTTTATTACATGTTTGCATGAAAAATTCATTTTGTCAATACTTCTTTCGCGTGTGTGCATTTAATATGTACAGTAAATTCCTTGCTTTATTTCAAATTATCTGCACTTAATTTAGCATCACAGGAGTGCGGCAGTGTCGGATCCTGAAGAAGAGCTCAACGACGTCCAGGTGCGGCTGCAGAACCGAACCTCACCAGACGGCGGACACTTCCACCGGCCCAGTCTCGGCAATGCCACAGTAGCCACTACCGTCTCCAGTTCCGGCACAGCTACTGTAGTCACCCTACCCCACCCGGACTCTGACAGGAACCCATCCAACGTCAACCCGCCAGGTACGGCTAACACCGGAAGTGGCGGGGGAGGTGGAGGGATTAGCAGCGGCACAGTCAGAATTAGCACCTTGTAAATGAAGGAAACAGAAAAAAACCTTTCTAGATAGAGAAAAAATGATTCTCTTCTTCCTCCACGTGGCCTTCCGTGGTGAACCGGCTCCACAGACCGGTTCTGGTTCCAGTTCGCACCAGAACGAGTTATTGAAAATAATCCCTTTGGCCTTATAACCATTTTCCAGCATCAAAATAAACCTGGTTGGTTTCTTTTGTGCATGCAGAACAAAACAGCAATGCCTCAAACTAAACGTTGTACTTGTTTGCGTACTGCGTTTGCGTGCTGTCTCGGAAGTTGAGATCTCTCCGACAAAATAGAAGTTATGGAGTTAAATGATATTTAGTTGCTACCTTGATCTTGTAGCTATAGCCATGGCCATTGTTCGAATAAATGATAGTTCCGAATGCTGAAATTTACTGATCGAGAATTCCGATGATATATCTTCACAGATCCTATTCAATAGATTATTGCTCATTAAAAAAATAACTGTTTGTAAAATTTACTTATATTTAAAGACAAATCTTATCTAATCGTTTAAGATAATTACTAAAATATATATATATAATTTTAATGCTGCGTATTGAGCCTGTGTACCCTTTTCATTAAAAACAATCTTTACTATAGCATTCATAAGCAAATTAAAAATATTCTGTTACTGTTCTGAAAACTCTACTTTGCACGCCTATTAAAATATTATTACAATAATAATCCAATGTTCTTATTGTAATTTTTAATGCTATAGAATAGTACCGTGTCAAAATGTTTCAGAGCGATAGTTGGCTACAGATATCCTATTGGAAGAAAAACATGCAACTGTAATATTTATTACAGATTAACGCTATTCCAGTGTTAATCTGTAATAATTATTATTACAGATTAATAATAGTCCAGTAAATTAAATATAAAAATAATCGAAATAAAATTTTTGCTTGTTAGATCAGGAAAAAGACGTATCGAAACTGTCTTGCGCCTTTATAGGGGGCCTTAGCGAATGCACACCACAATGGCAACATTTCAGATACTTCTTCCGAGGCAGCTTAGTCCCTATGCAAAAATTTAAACACACACAAAGAGAAATATCGAGTGATATTTATTTCTGCGTTTAAGTGTTTTCTGTCTTCTGATGTTGTTGTTTGTGAAAGACTTGCCCATGTATAGACGGGACTGACTTCTGATATGTGGAACAAATGAGTCCAAGAAACCTGACTACCGGCAGCCACAAGCTCAAAGGACTGTGTTCCACGAGTCCAAAATGCACATGGTACTTTACCTACTAGCAGCTGCATACATGGCAAAGTACCTTTCCCACCTTGTGACGTCATATTCTCTTTGTACCTGTTGTCAAAGGTATTCTTTGTTTAAGAACTAGAGAAATATTTAGTTATATTTTGATGTGTTTGAATATTAAAATGAATTTCAGTAGTTGTTATCAACCATTCATGGATGATCCTCTATTTCCTGATATTCCCATTTAATGACAGATTCCTGAAGTGCCATAACTATAACTGCAATTAAAATTATTTCAATACGTAATAGACGAAATTTGCATTATGAGCTTTCATAATGGTCCCATATTATAAATTTAATCATCCTTTTAGCAGCTTGCTGTTAAGGAAATATCACACCTGGTTTAGGTAGGACTGCACATAAAGTTAGTAACCAAATATACATGATACGCAGCAGTTTAATTCTAAAGCCACTTGAATCTGTAAATAATTCAGAAATTTATCAGAAACTTAGCTTATTCTTATAGAATTTTGAAAATTGCTCAAAAATTACGAAAAATAAGTATTTTTGTTTATTTTACCAAAGAACTTTAATTTAAATTTTACTTCATTATAAATTATAAAAACTAAATCTGTTTTAATATAATTAAAAGTTTTAAAAAGAGAGTTTTTAGAAAAAAAGCTATAAACTAATTGAAAACAGAAGCAAAAATTTAAAATATGGCGGAAATTTATTAAATTATTCTAAAATAGCAATTATTTTATTTTTGTACATATTCTACTGAAAAATACACAAAGTTCTGAATAAGGTCTGATTTGAAAAGAGCTAATCTCTAAAGTTTTTAATATCACTGTATCTGACTAGCTAAAAAACGCGGTATGTTTTCAGCCATCTATCGGTAAATTAAAGAATTACTAAAGAAATCATTTTACAGTGCAGCTCTCTTCATTGCTCTTTCAAAGCGAAAATGTGGAAACTAAAGTCTCACAGAACAGCTAATCGTCAAGATGGAAAGTGCTTTTATATTGTGTGGTAGAAGTAAACGCAGGGAACAAAATAAAGCATAACCAAACGTTGAGTATTTGGTAATCATTTCGTGTTAAATTGATATTTTTATGAATATATTTTGGGTGAAAATATTTATAAAGGAAAAATATTTTAGAAAGACATTAATTTTTTAAATATCTTAAATTTAAAAATTCATAGAAATGCAATCATGATTTAAAATCAGAAAAGTTCTTACAATACAGTAAAATAAGTTAGTAGTAACACAAACTATATTTCACATTATACTATTATCATTTTAAAACATTTGGTTAAATTATCTTTACAGTTGAATTAGGGCTTATATGTTTAAAATGATTTCAGACATATAAATCTGGATTTTCAAAACATTTTTAACGATGAAAGATAAAATCTATTTAATATAACAAATTTTTTCAAATTTTTCTACAAGTACTTTCTTGTACTCATGTCTTTTTAAATAGCAAAACTGTTTTCAAATTTTAAAAAATGCTAATATTTTAAATACAAATATCAATAATTTTTTTATTTCAAATGCGCGATAATTTTGAAACTATGATATTTTATACTGAAATAAAACCTGAATGCTAAAATTGAAATATTACAATAATATCACTAATCTGAAAATTTTAAATGTATTTTTATAAATTAAATGAATATTCAAATATTATGTAGCTGACTGAAGCCTTATTGCTACGAAATTTGTAATTCTCGGAATATTAATTCCGAAATTTAGTTTCGTTCGGTGTAATAAAATTAACATTTCGAATGAAGAAAATTTTTAGGCTGCTAAGAATCCATGAAAGCATCATAAAAATATGACAGTTTTGGGACAAAAAGTAAGTTTATATATTATAACCGTTGCTTAATTAAGTTGAAATTAAGTTAAGAAATAATTCTAACAATATAAAAAAATGAAAGTAGGTCTAATTTATGCTAAATATCATAAATTCTTTTTAAAGAGGCTTAGGTAGGTTAGGAAGGTTTAATTTTACAAAAACAAAACGCTTGAGTTGCAATAATAATAATTAAGCAAACGAGTGACTACCTAGCTAGCTTATTATAAAAACAATTAATGAAGCGCCGAAAAATTCACTTCTTAGAAAAATCACGTTCCAAACTTTACGCTTCTTTGCACTTAAGTAGGTAGTCATATATCAAAAGGCACAAAGCACTACACACTTCTCATCAAAATTCCACTCTCAGCTTTCGTTGAGGAGTTACTTTGTAACTTTGGATCATTCTGAAGCTCGGAACACGCATTTTCAATCAAGAAAAATCTTCACAGCTCTTTTCAAGCCTCTTCGGCACAGTAACCATATCCACTGTAAATCTGAGAATCTTCTTACCAAATTGGTAAAGACATCATACTTTCCAGAAATCTTCTCGAACTCTTAGAGCATGTGTGCATTTGTATGCAACTTGGGGTGATTTATTTATAAGAAGCATTTAATCTATTTACGAGAACGTAATTTTCATGACCAAATATATATATTTGAATGTTTCATAGCGGTTACTGAATGCATGCCATTAAGAAACATTCAAGCAATGATTTCATGAATGGTACATATATATTATGTTTTCCCTTGCAGATTTATTTTCTGTATGTTTGTGCCCATTTGATATTTGCTGTGGATAATTTGTTTTTACGTTTGAAAATTTTACATTCTATCGGTACTGCAATGTCTTTCATTGTATAAATACTTTTACAAAATTTAGACCTTTATATATATATATATATATATCATAAAATACCCTACACTTACTAAATCATATTTATTTAACAAAATAAAGATATTAACTTTATAACTTCATCGCAGATTGCTTTCATTTTTGCATATGTTTAGTATATGTTTAATCAGTTAATCTTTCTTCGGATTTGCCTCTCGAAATCTCTAAACTTTTTTTATCAATTAATTCATTTATCTTTTTGATAAGTGTTCTAATATTATATTCATGTTTCTAAATAACTTTTGTTACAGAAATTTCCCAAAGAGCACCTGAAAATAAATAATCAATTTGTATATTTGATAAAATATAAATATTTTTACTTTTTCTGAAATTTTAATTGTTTTTTAAAAGAGGAGAAAATTATTTTGAAATCTTTTCTCGTTTCATATTATTTGCCACATTAGAGTTAATTCATTTACATATTTATCACCAATATTTCTCGGTAAAACACATACCTTGCAAAATTTTTAAGTTCTGAAATTTATTTTCTTTAGGCCCTTTTAATCTCATTAATACTGTGATAAATATTTTGAAATCACTATAACAATGATTTACAAAATTTAAAATAAAGTAGTTTTGTGAATCTTAATAGCTTTCGTAGAAAGGTCTGAAACTTTTTCCTTATAAAATGCTTTGCAGTACTGATAAATTGATTTATGATGTTTTTATGTTTGGAGAATGTGTAAAATAAAATTGTGTTTTTTTACATTCCTTGATACTCAGTGGAACAAAGGTAGGATGATCAAAAGTGTATTTATATATTACTTTTCTTCAACGTGACTTTCACAATTTGCCTTATATTGAAAAGCACTGTACAGCATTATTTTAAACACTACTTGTTAAATGTTTTACCTCTTATGGTAGAAATTTTTGTTGAAAATACGATTCGTGGCCTCTATTTGAATTCATAAACTACTTGTGTTCATAAGCATTAACGCTGTAACTAGATTCGATTAAGATTGTGTTTATATGTGTGTGCAGTGGGGCTTGCATCGTATTTATACACTTTCGCAGCTCTGCATGTATATGTTTATTTTGAAGATGATGAGTTGTACTCATGAGGATGATAAGTTGTATTCATAGTTGACAACAATGACTCGTGAAATGTTCTTTGTCACTTTAGGACAAAAGAAGCCAAGAAATCGATATGTTTGAAAATTCTTCAAACGCTAAAATCGTAAACAAATTTTTATAACATTTGTCATTATTTTTTAATAGATTTTTAAGTTTACTAAATTGAGAAAGTTGTGCCTTTTAAAAAAGTATAAATTCTTCGCCTCATATTAAAATTTTGAATACCTTATTTTACTGCTGTTTAAAAATTTTTGAGTGTTTTGTGCATATCATGTAAAACGATATTGATTCCGATATAATTTAAAAGGCTCGCTAATTTTTTCCAATTTAGTAATATCGTTTTTAGATTGAAATGTAACATCTCTTCGCATATAGCGCTGAGCAGGAGAAATAATTGCTACAGTTTCCCCGCGAAAACGGAAACTTGAAAATCTGGTTTCTTATAAGGGAGTGTTGGCAAAAGACTATGTTAAAAAGTGATGCAAGTAATTTTCTGTATCAACAGGAAAACTGCAATTACTGTATAACGACCAGTGATACTTTAAACAGTATTCTACAGATCAAATGTTTGAAACTAATGATCAAAATAAGGTCAGACAAGTTGCTCATGTAATGCGAGACGTTCCCGTTGCCCAACCATTTCCATCTTGTCGTGTATACTGCATAATCGTAAAAAACCTGAAAAGATATTTTACGAGCTGTCAGGACAGCACTTTTGCATGTCTTAAGGTATGGTAAAAACGTATTATATGCAATGTGGTTTTCGAGAGATGCTTGTCTTAAGCCCTTGCTCTCGGTCATTCATGTGAGCAGCTTGTCTGAATAAATCAAACTATATACAATTTTATTTTGATATGGTCTATTGTCTATAGATTTCTCCTTTCTATTTGGGATAACACTTTCCAATTCCTTATAGGCATGCTTTCTTTTCCTTACATATTAACCTGAAAGAGATCTAATGGCATCTATAAAAGGATCGCTGTTATTTATAAAATAATACTTTTTTGAATTAGAATGACTTTGTCGAAAATATCTTCAAAAGTCATGCTCCACTTTTGTGTTCACATTATAAGCGAACTATGTCGTTAATTTCCCTATCAAAATTGGAAATCTTCAAAATAATTATGCTTCAAATACGCTCCAAAATTAAGAAATTTGAAGCTAAGTGAAAAGTAAATGCTATGCTATAATTGTCCTATAATGCTGTAATTCCGGATGTTTTACCAGTAAACATATACAGTTGCTTTCATAAAGTACAAATTCCGCATAGTCTGAATAGTTCTCCTGCATTCTTCTTTAATTTATACTGCTATTCTTTAAATAATTTTAATTTTCAAAAACCATTAACTTTGATATCTTCGTAAGTGTAATGTAGGGAAATTACAGTTATATATAATTTACACCTTAATCCAAGATATTATTTTCTATTATTCAAAACATAAGAACATCAGAAAAGCCAGAACTAACTGCGAAAAGAGTTATTAAAAGTCAAACACATTTTTTCTCATAATCTTACAGAAAAGAATTTTTAAATATTGCTCTGCAACTTATTTAATTACCACAATACAACTCCGAAACAAAACGCGCTATATACTATTTACCTTGAGTAAATAAGTAAAACAATTTTTTAGTACGAAAATAATTTATCAAACATACTCATTAAAATAAGTATTTCACTGCAGCGATTTTTATAGTAGCCTTAAAATTTGTGACACACATAATTTAAATTACAAAATTAAAACCATTCGATAATTTTTTTACAAGGAACCTAAAAATCAAATTTTAATAACTTGAAATCAAGCACGGAACTTGTAGAAATTCTGATGAGTTTCTTTTATGACCTGCTTAACAAGTAACTAATTGTTAAGACTAGTTAACTAAAAAATTCTATTTGATATAATAAAGCACAACAGCTGTTCAATCCTTTAATGGCATGAAGATATATACTCTAAGATTGAAGCTATTTTCATGAATACATACAGTAATAGTGCAGCTTTTCCATTTTATTGAAGTTTCTTAACAAACTGTTCTTCAGTGTACAAGCAGTTCATCTAAGAAATGCATTTTCTTACACGATGAAATACTTCTTCAGAATCTGTGGCTGCAGCAAATGTTTACATATATAGTTCTTCATACCTAAAACCTCAAATAGTATAGAATAGGTTAGTTTACATAAGTGGATATACGCACATTGATACACAGATATTCACAACACAACACTGAAGGGCATAAAAGTGGGGCATGACTTATTTTTAATAGTAATAAATTATATACCGCTTAGTAAAATCCTATTGTAATATTAATTCAAGAAGAATTTTTTGCCTGATGTTAGGAATAAACGCATTCTAATAGAAATTCTAGTATCCGTAATAAGCCCTCATAATTTTTCTTAGAATAACTCAAAGAATCCGCCCGCTTTAGGAATCAATTGAATAAGAGGTGTCTGTATTTAGCTAATTAAGTTAGCTGAAAGAACTAAGCTATAAATTTAAAAAATATTTGTTTATTATATATATATATGTATATTTAGCACGTAATAGTAATATTATTTTCCATCAGAGGTCCTGTCAAAAAATTTTGATTTATCACCAGTTAAGAATTATTCCTGATGTAAATAACAATAGCTTACCCTCAAGATTTATAACCACATAGATTACTTATACTTTTGATTATAGAAATAATCTTTTAAAACTTTTAAATCTTATGTAAAGTAAATAACTTTTAATGATTCTGTCATTAATTGTTAAAAAGCTCAATTGTTCGAATGATTTTAATTCAAAATTCAAAAAATTTCATTTAAATATCAGTAAAGTTTTTGAAATTATTTGCTTCAAATAATTTATTATCACTTTTAACTTCTGCTTTCAACGTTATTTAAGAAATGTTCGCTTTTATCACTTTTTGCGTAAAGTAACTTAAAGTTGGTAATATATTTTGCTCCAGTTATGTAAAGTAAATAATTTCCACTGATTCTGTCATTAATTGTTAGGATTCTCAATTGTTTGAATGATTTTTAATTTGAAAATTCTTAAATTTCGTTTAAATATCAGTAATTTTTTTAATTATTTGCTTCAAATAACGTAATATCACTTTGAACGTTTTTTGAGAAATTTTCGATTTTCTCCCTTTTTGCATAAAGTAACTTTAAAGTTGGTAATATATTTTGCTCCAGTTCTTTTTTCCCATATTGTAGTGCATGTTATTAAATATTTTTCACATCATTAGTAAAAAAAATACATTTAAGGGTAAAAAATATCAGCATCATTTTGCTTTTATAAGTATTTATCATCAGATATTATTAATAAATCCTATTTATAAAATTACACATTATGAGCAAAAACTTTAAAAGCTAGTGCAAAAATTATATATATGTATGTGGAAGTCTTTTTTCAAGACTTAGAATGTAACATACATTTTAAGTTATATCTTTGTACATTTAATCAATTAATTATAATTCTTAAAGAATTTTTACAAGCAAAAAAGCTGGTTTGTGTTACTTAAACAAAAATCGCTTCGTAAGCGTATTTTTAAGGACTTATTTACAATTAAAATGCATTACAGTGAATACTTCTAGAAATCTAATATTAAAATTTCGATAAGCTAATAATTAATTTTAATGCTTTTTTAAATTATGTGAATTTATTATAAATAGGTAGCAATCTATTTTATGATCAAATGGAATAATCATTTTGTACTTCTGAGTCATCATCACTTTGTCTTTTAATTCAAATAAAAAAACAAAAGGTTGTTCAAACAAGAAAAACAAACAACAACAAAAGTTTATTTAAATATGAAAACAAAAGTTTTTTCAAGTTAATTAAAAGACATAATTGTAAATTTTAACTTATTTTAAAGTTAGCATACACATCTTTTTTAAATTATGTAAGAAGTATAAAATAAAATTACTGTTTGAATACGGCGTTTAAGTAAACATATTACCAAAATTTTATTTCGGTATGCTTTGATGACTATTTGGCTGCTATTTTCTGAAGTGAAGTTTGAAGCGGTATGCAAAATATATTAATATGAAATTAAACACTTTTATGTTTTAGTCTGACAGTTAAGGAAAAAAAGAAGTGTTAAGCCCAGTCCATAATATCGCTGTTGCTATATGAAAGACTTCCCTAAACTTTATAATTTATTTTAACTTCGCAATTTCATTTATTAACAGGTACTGAAAAAACAAACTGCAAAAGTGGAGTACCGTGATATTACAACCACTGCCAGAAACCAAATTTGAAACAATTGTTCACTAGATGCTGGAAAAAGAAGCAAACAAAAATTACCCTTGCTTGCTTTGCTGCATACTTGCGTCGAATTTTCCAAACGCGATTTATTTTAATGCAATGGCTGTTTCCCAAATGCAGTTTATTTTAATGCAATTGTTATATTCCAAATGCAATTATTATTTTCGAAACGTAAATCTCAATAGCTAGGTATTTATTTAGATTTTCTGATCGTTTCTTCGATTGCGATATGTTAACGATTTGATAAAATATGCTAAAATTAAGTTTCCATTATTTCGCCATTTTTTCCGTTGCAATAAAAACAATTCAGTTCATCACAGAAAGAGTAACCCATTATTTCCAGTGCGAATGTGAAATTCAACAGCGTAAAAGGAAAGCGTGAACACTTTCGTAAGATAGTAGCTAGAACTCAACGTGAATATCCAAACCGTCGTCAAATCGTTCTAAAGCATATATTCAGCCAACAAAACGCATATCAGCATGTAAAAAGAAATGCAGATCAGAGTAACACAAAACAGCTTTTTTTGAAAGGTAAATTTCTGAAATTCATGTGTAATGAATATTAATTGTTTATCCGTGAATTTAAGTGAACATATTCTTTCATCTAAATCTAGTTAATCATTTTATCGATATTATATATTTCAAGTCAAAATGCTTTATCTGTGCTTGTAGACTTTAAACCTAGAATCCCATTTTAGTAAACATCCCCATTTTTCTTATATATTTATGAATTTAAATTGCATTTAGAATGTTTAAAACTCATGCGAAACAATCAAAGCGCAAATGCGTTTCTGTCGGAACGATGGGAAGACATTTTATCATATCTCGTCCTTAGACTTGGCAATTTGCCATAACAATGATTTTTTTTTTGTTTTGTTTTGTTTTGTTTTCAATCTGTACATAATTATATCATTTACTAGCCATTTTTGGTAGCATTAGACTTCTTTCATTAGGATAAAGAAACTGCGATTAGAAATAGCACTTTTACATTCTAGATTATCACTTTTTGCAGACATATTCGGTGTAAATCTATCATCTGGAATTCTTGTAAGCAATTTAGACAGTAATTCAAACTTTAGTGATGCGACAAATTGATGTTCGGTAAAAATGGTTTAGCTACAGTTCTGGCGCAAATAAATAACTTAAATGGTAAAATAGAAGAGAAGTCTATAAAGAAAAATTAAATTTTTAAACATAAAAATTACTATGAAAATTCTTACTAATATCGGAATTTTTAATTTGATTACCTATCTGAACTCCGAATTTTTTTAAATAAAAAAACTTTTAAAAATTTGTAAATAATGTAGTAAAAGAATTATAAATTTATCAAAATTTGTATAAATGAATTCAAACACTTTTTTCTGTTTATTTTTCGCCTTCGAAACCAAGGAGAGAATGTCTTTAAAACAGCAAAATCTGTCGCATTTAGGATTGAAATTTAGTCTTGGTTTAATTACATTGTGCTGTAATATAGAAATTTTAATAGCAGAATGCCATTTTTGTAGGGATAAAATTTTTATTGCTCATTTTTAAACATCTTGGTGTCCAAAATTGTCTTATGACTCTTTGAACTATATTAGCTTACACTATATTACCTTGTTAGGCGTTCATTTTAATAAAAGTTACAAGATTTCTTATAGTTCATAGACTATTATGTCTTTAGAATATTTCGGTATTTCACATAAAGCAACTGGTGCTATTGTTTAAATGATAGTAATTACATATCATGATGGGGGGAATCTTGAAAAGTGGTCATATTTTGAAATATATTTGCTTCAGGCTGTTATCCGCATTTCCGACAGATGTGTTTATTTTTATTCATATTAAAAACTTATAATTTTTTTTCTTTTTCAGGAATGCGGGTTTCATTCAGCACATAGCAAAATTACGTATTCTAAACATCATCATTTTTAAAATAAAGTTCGAAAAAAATTAGAGTAATATGAAAAATTCTTTCTAAAATACTACAAGTATATAACTGAAGGAAAAAGAATTTTACATTTCTTATCATTAACACTGTAGAATATATAGAACTTCAGTAATATTAGTACAGATCAGATGTAGCAACATGTCTGGTTCAATAATGAGATCTTAAAGTGACTTCACTTTACTTCATTCAAAGCATATTACTAAATAATGAAACATTTCAGTACATTCTATGTAACAGATCGTACTGAAAATAATATCATAGAGCTTGGTTTTACATTACTTTTCGTTCACGTTTATTTTTATGCCTAATAAATTTACTTTTGCTTTTACTGAACTGTTATAATTGCTTCGTCGCTTATGAAAGTAAGCTAATTATAACAAAATGTATTCTAATTACGAAGTTGCTGTGGCAGAATATATTCTGTTATGGCCAATGGATGACATAAAATTTCACGAATACTGTAATAATTTTGATTCAAATGCCATTTAATATGATGACCTTGATTATATGGCCTCTCAAATATAAAATTATGTGAACCATTGAAAATCGTTTAATAGTGCAAGTTTTCATAGAATTTCATTCATATATGTAGTATAAATTAAATAACTGTTTAATGTAAAGCTATTAAAGAAATATGAATTATAATGAATGATTAACTTTTTTACAACATATTGAATAAAATATGGACCAACTGTTTCTGAAATATTATTATAAATCCCAAACTATTCATGTTTTCACTGGCAACATGCTTTTTACATAAAATGTATACCGATTTTCTTGCTTAAATGCAAAATTTATTTAAATATTACCCAAGGACATGTGTGGTATGTAATATAAGGATAGGAAAATTCAAACAGAAGTGAAGTGACGCAAAAAATTTCAAGAACTTTAAGTATTGTAATAATATATTTTAATTTTTAATTAACGTATTCGGATATTTATAAAGTTTACATTTATCATTTTATA